TTTTTTTTTTTTTTTTCTTTTCTTTTTCCCCTCCTTTTTTCTTCATTGTCCTCCCTTAAATAGAAACTTCTTATGTCTGGGCTGATTCCAAATGTCACATTGCCTTGGTTTGGGTGGCACCATTTTTGTCCATTGGCAGTACTTCATGAAGCTCACTGTGTTTATAAGGCTTAGGGGAAGAAGGGAGATCTTGGGGAATGTGAGAGATTTTGCAGTAGTTGCACCCAGTCCTGGAGCCAGGATAGCTGAAAAGAGGATATGGAACATAGGTTAAACTGAATGGGAAAGTGAACGAAACACAAGAATTTTAAGCATCCGTCTTGAATTTTGAAAAGGCAACCATTTCCTGTTGTTGGTGCATGTTCCATACCTGCTCCCAGTAAGGCATTCAGCCTTTTGACACAAAACAGTGTAACCCCTATAAGTAGGGCCAACAACCGTTGCTCCCAGATGAGGAGCAAAAGGTGACTCGTCGGTATCTTATTCTTTTCCAACACTTGGTCCTCCTCTATTGGGGGGAGGCAGAGGGCAGAATGACTGTCTAACAAGCAGCAGCTTCTGCATGTGAACGAGTTCAAGTGAAAAGCAGAATTTGGGGTGCCAGGAGTGGATGTGGTTGTGTGCTGAGGGAAAAGGGGGAAAAGCGGTGATGGGTAGGATGAGAGAAGAGATCTGGAAGAGCCACGGAAAAGGAAGCATGATGGCCTGGGAACTAGCAGTACATTTACTACAAAGTCTGACCCTTCAATGGCTCTTCGTAGCAGGCTGCATTTTTTATCAAAAATTCTTGGAAGTTGTTTTATCCCAGAGCACCGAGCTAATTTCCTTGAATTGAAATTACTTATATTCTCATGTCTTTGTCCAAGGCTGCTATTTGCATCTGGCCAACGTGAGTGTTCAGAAATGTGAATGAGAAGGAAGAACCAGTGTGAGTGGTAGTGTCTCTATGACAGTGTGAGACTGTCCCACTGCTTATGTTCTGCCCTGCTTTCAGGAGGATGATGTGGATCAGCTAGTGAAGAGGATGATGGCCCTGCAGACAGACATTGTGGACCTGCAGAGAAGCCCACTAGGTCGTAAACAAGGAGGAACACTGGAGGATTTGTGAGTTAAACTACCTTGAATTTCAGATGCAGGAGTATTGCTAGCTAAGCTTATTCATTGCAGGGCAATGAAAGTGCTATCTCTTCATCCCAAATTATGGGGGACTGGGAGGACTTTGACACTAAAAGACAGTTTTTGACTCTTTACCTGTCATCGGTCTGAAATGGCAGACTGGTATATAAAAGATTTAAGTTCTTGAACTACTTGTTTGTAATTTAGGTTCTAGAGAAGTCCTTTGTGTTGTGTGCCTTTTTCTTCTAGAGAAGAACAAGCCAGAGAGCTCTACCGGAGATTGAGAGAGAAGCCAAGAGGTAAAAGACATTTTAGCTCAAGGTCAGCTTGCTTTCTGTGGATAGTAACTTTGGAGATGTGATAAGGAGCACTGAGAAGACTTTCTCTGCATCCTAGGCCTGCCCATACGCTAGCTACACATGGACTCTACTGGACTCGCTTTTTTTTGGAGAGGGGAGTCAGGGAGTCAGTTTTAAACTAGGCCAGCCTCGCTTTCTTGGTGCCTTCTGAGCTCTTCTTGAAACTCCTCTGGAGCTCTGTTGCTGCAAGCATATGCTGCTGCTTCTGTGTAGGAAGGATGAAAGACATAGCTGTTCCTTTGAGCAGCTATACAGCCCCAAGGCATTAGACCCACCCTACCAACTCTGCTTTGCAATTCTCATCATTTTGAAGAAGGTGGCTAAAATCCAGTGCAATTCATCCCACACCGACTTGCACGCCCTGAACTTGGGATGTTTCAGGATTGAAGCAGCAGTGGAAACAAGCCATTAAGAATCTCTGTCCTACAAGCCTACCTTTTTGTGTGATACTCTGAACTCTCATTCCAGATCAGAGGACAAGCGGTGATAGCCAAGAAATAGTACGACTGCTCCTACAGGCAATCCAGACCTTTGAAAAAAAAGTCCGAGTCATTTATGCTCAGCTCAGGTGAGCTTTGTAGAGTCAGCTTTTATTGAGGGTTGAAAGAAAGCATTTTCTCCTTCAGCAAGAGGTTTCGTTCTAGAGGTTTAAACCCCAGTGTGTGCAGCTAATGAGATCTGAGAGTGTTACAGGAAATAAGAAACTTCAGAAATATTCCCCTACTGCAGTTGCCCATGTGTGATCTGTTGTTTTTTGTTTTTTTGTTTTTTTTTAAATAGTAAAACTGTAGTTTGCAAGCAGAAGGCATTGGAATTGTTCCCCAGAGTGGAGAAAGTGATGAATCTGATGAATGAAGATGAGGAAACAGTTGTTAGGCTTCAGGAGAAACGGCAGAAAGAACTGTGGAACTTGCTGAAAATTGCTTGTGTAAGTAAAATAAAAACTCCAGTTTAACCTGAGTATATGGCTTGTTACACAAGCTACTGAAATAATTAATAGTAAATTTAGTATGTCCTATGATTCTTTTCTGTTATTTTGAGTTAGTATTAAAGCCAAGTTCCAGGCTTTCTCATACTCCTGGCTGCTGGAAATTAAATAATTGCAATCTGAATCTTCTGTGTATTCTTCAGAGTAAAGTACGTGGTCCTGTTACTGGCAGTCCAGAGAGCATGAACACATCACGTCTTGGTAGCCCTGGTCAGCTGCTGCTGCAGGTCCCTTCTGGAACCTACAATTTATCAGAATCTGTCAGGAAAAGGTGAGGCAAAGTCTGGAGTTCTGTAGCTGCTAATGCCAGCACTACGAAGCTGGCATTGTGAAATAATGACACACAGGCTTTCTCACATTTTACGCTTTGTGTTCAGCTTCCATTGTCAGCAGTCTTTTCTACCTAGTAGCTGGACTTCCTGGGGCTTGTGAATCTTCCTTACGAAAAACGGGGAATAATGTATAGCTTCACTTCCCCCTGCCTCAATAATAAAGGGTTTGTTTGTGGAATGGTTGGGCTCACTTGAAGTACACTGCCAACAGGAATTGTTGGAGCATTGTCATGTAAGGTCATAGTAGCTGAGCTATATGATAAAGGAGAGACTGCTACAACCAAGCACCTGTAGTTCTGGCTTGCTTAAATGAACCAGGTCACCAGCTGGAATGACAGACCTTGGTTTGTTTATTTGTATGTTGCTTAATCCTTTAGTTTATAGGCTGTTCTGCAACTTTTTCTCTAAGCAACAGTGACTCCACATAGCAAGAACCCAACTCCAACTTTGAACATGCTTCCTTTCCCCTGTCCCAGTAAATCTGCAGATGCCACCAACTTTCCCAGTTGCAATATGAATTGCTAGCTTATGAGCTGACTGGTAAAGGTTAATATTCTTCACTGCTCTGCAGCATACCTGCCAGAAATATTTTTTGAAGGTAGAGCAGCATTTCTAAACAAAACTTGCCATGGAGAATAATTGTGTAATAATTGTCCCTTTCAGCGAGGAGCTACTGCTGGAATCACAGAAACTCTGTAGCCAACTAGAAAATGTGATGCATGACACAATGAAGGACCAGGAGCAGAGCTTCATGGTAACATACGTGATATTGTTCTATAAATGGACTGGGGAAGCTCATGGCTTGAGACTTCTGCTTGTGTAACTTTGCCACCAATAAGTAATATGGCTAATAGCAATCTGCATACTACTCTTTTGGACAAGGAGAGTAGGAGTTGTGGGAGATAGAAAGCACCCACTTCCCCACTTGAACTGCTGACTGACATATTCCCTGCTTGCTGAGAACAGGTGCCATGCGCTGGGGACTTAAGTTGTGCTGAACAACGAAGGATGGAGGAAAGCACTTGGCTGTTGTACAAAAATACTGCAAAATTGCACTCTTAAAATTGGGATGGTCTTGTGGTGGAATACTTGGTGGGCAGGGATGCTTATTTAACAAGGCAGAATATTGAAAAGAAAGTAAAATATTAGAAAAAATAAGTAGCCTAAGGGTTTCCTTTACAGCAGTCGCGTGGTTCATGACAAGCCTATATTGACCAACTTGTTCACAGTAAAATTTTAAAATCTTTTAAATTGCTTCCTCTTTATTCTGGAGAAATCTCAACTGTAAGCTAGTGTTGAACTTTGTAGTTCTAACTGTTTATTCTTTAGGCTCTAGATTGGAGCTGGCTGCAGCTTCAGGTAGAAGAAACAAACAGTCCAGAACAAACCCAGATGTAAAATCACTTCGGTTGCCTCTGAAGACATGCTACTTCAGGAAGCCAACTGTGAAAAGCTGCTGCCTCTGAGAAGGGAAGTTCAACTGCCTCCTTCTACTGTCACCTACTGCTTATGTAACCACCTCTCAGACACTTTTTTCCACAAAGACACAGTAGGAAATGCCTGTTCTAACTGCTTGGAAAAAGTTCTTAATTGTGCCTTAAGACAGCAGATATTGTTATTCTCTGTCCTGATGTATCTTCCCTTAGGCAACACATGTGGTTGTTTTGCTGCCTTTTAGGCTTTCTAATGAACAATGGACAACGCATGCAATCAGCTTGCACAGTCAGTGGTAGATGTCACCTTCCTAATATACTTGAACTGTGAACTTAATTTCTTAACTTTGCTGATTTGCACTTTTTTTCTTAAGTGTAATGGTTGTACTTACCTAATACTTGTTTCCTATATGGGAACGAAATTATCTAAAACATGTAAACTTTTGGTTTGCTCTTTTTGATACCCTCAATAACACTTTAATGAAAAAGCTGCTTTCACTGTGCAGGTCTCTAAAACATGAGAGATGTAAGGATGTTACCCTAGAGACCACAGAGAAGGACATCTTCAGTGTACATTTATAATTGAACAAAGCATTTGCAGATTATCTATTAACCATGCTTAAAGTTGCACCAAAAAAAAAAAAAGGCACAGCTGGGTGGAGCACAGCTTTTCTGAACTTTACCGAGATACAAGACACACCAATATTATGTTCCAACTGTGACCAATTTATTTCATTCTGATGTAAACCCAAATTTCCACTACAGCAGAGAGACCGCCTTTTCTAAAAGGTTGTGAGGTATAGGACATGCAGGATGCAATACAATAATGGGGAGAGGAGGGATTTTCTTCTGTTTTTAGGAACAGATTTAAAATACGGGAAACCGAAGTGAAATGTGGCACAAACATCACAACTTCCATGCATGCCTTTAAGTATCTTCCTTTGATGTGGTGGCACTCTCTGGACTTCAGTGTTGGGTTAAAATGATTCTTTGGAAGAGTAGAAAGTTCACGCTTCTTGAAATTTCAGAGTAATTTTAAGGCCGAAACACACTGGGTACACTGTTCCTTCATCTTCCAGAGCACCACTTGTTGTTTTACTTAAAGCTGCATTAAGCTTCCAGCTCAAATCCTAGCCCAACTTTGTGACCTCCAGCACTGAAATTCTTGCCATCAATCAAGCCTGAGAGGGTCAGCTTTACACCTAGGAAAGCAAGTAATGAGACCCCTCATACACTGATATCCCTGTAAAATGCACCCCCCTCAAGTACTTGAACCTCACTAATGTGTCTTAGTCGCTATAGGAACTTCTGTATGTACACATCCTTCTATGAGCCTATGTAAGTTTTCTAGCTAATTTGTTTAGTCTGTTCTAGAGATGACAGTAAAATAACCCATAGTGTAGTACTAATACTATTTACTGCTACCAGTTGGACTTACATACCAGGTCGAAGGGCATGACTGTAACCAATTCCAATCAGGCTGGCATTATTCACTTTAGCCTACAGGAAAAAAGAAATCACAATATTTATACTCAGACAGAATTGTCCCAGTGCCCTGAGAAGGTGGCTTATGCATTAACTCTTTCAGCAACTTATAGACTTAACCTCTAGCAGAGGCATATTCCAATCTTTTCCTTTTATCCTGAAGAGTTTCCAGCTTAAGCTGTAATAGTTTCAATCTTTCCCTCAAATTGTGACCCATTATGCCTACATAAAATGCCACCTTGTCCTTCACTGTCCCCAGCGTTGTCGCTTTATATTCTTTAAAGGGCTAGTTCTACAGTCCCTTGGTAGCCAATGAAGTCTGTCTTGTTCACAGACCCCTGTTCACAAATTGCTTAGTAGTGATTTTTTTTTTTAAATGAGCAATAAATATATGAATATGCAAACCCATTTTTGCATTACTAAGTTTTGAGCTGTTTACCATAGTATTTCCCATCTTCAATTTTGGCTGAATTGTCCTGGAACTAATTCTTGTTTTGAAGCATAACAAATGCTTGCTACTTCAGTTCTTAGTGTTAGAATGTACATAATTACTTTTATTCACTGTCGCTTCCCTCTGGACATGTTTTGTCTCCTGAACCTCTCTCTCTTTCTCTCTCTCACTATTTAAACCTTTTTTTTTTTCCCCTAACATTTCTGCAAGAATTTGCAAGTGTCAGTAACAACACTTATCTCAGGACTTCAGCTGACTTTCAAGGGTTAACTGATTGTTAGGAGGCGGCTGTAAGCCCAGCTGAACTTCCATCATTTTACTATAGTACGGTTTTACATTATGCATTAGATCAGAATTAAAGAATTAAAAGGATACTGCATCCTCTCATTACCTTTTGAAAACACATTTTGCATAGGCTCCAAGCACACTAGTCAGACTAGTGACTATTTCACCATAGACAAAACAGTGCTTTAGATTTTTTTTTCCATCTTTTCACAAATATGACCCGTGAGGTCCCAATTTAAATTTGAACCACGACAGAAGCCACAATTTGCCATCTACCATACTTTCTCAGTAACTATTTAAAGCAACTACTTCATACCACAAATTTTCAGTATTTAAGGGAGCTTGAAATACTCATTCCTGTAACAAAATTCTTACCACAATAGAAGTCTTCTCATCCAGTTGGTACTTGGCAGCAATACCAAAACGTGTGTTGTTACTGCCAGCAGTCCATGCAAGATTGACTGATGTCTCAACCTTATTATTAACCTTCTGATAAATAGACCCACCAAACTCGGTGCCATCATTCCTGTTTGTAATAGATGCAAGTGTGTCAAGCCTTGCTTTGTTTAGTAAACAGTAACTCTTCAGCTTAACCCTTCCCTGCAATCATTCGATCATTATCTCTTAAAATGAACCAAGAGCTCCAATATTTCCCTAGATCCATGCTCATCTACTGCCTAGCTGGAGCTGGCAGACGACGACTCATGTTTTTTACCCCAAACAAGTTTTGCTTGCAGAATGGAACATGACTTTCCAACAGTTTGAGATTCTGACAAAAAAAAAAAAAACAAAACAAAACACAAAACAGGTAACTTGCTTGCTTGTCTTAAGTTAAGAAAGCAAGCCTGCGATGATGCATAAAGGGACAAATCCAGAAGGAGACTTAAGTCAGTTATGAGAATGATGAGACTGAAAAAAATGTTATTGCATTGCAGTTGTTTAAATACACCATGTTCAAAGACTCAAAGCATCTGAATGCCAAGACTAGAGCTACACTGCAATGACACTCAAGCACAATGCAACACACAGCTCTCTCCTCCACCTTGGGCATTTCTGAGCCAGAAGCTTTCGGTCTGGTGGAGAGGGAGGGAAGGTACAGTAGCTTAATTGAAGGCTCTTTTATCTAGCGCCAAAATAGAAATTAAAGTTTAGGGATTTTAATTCCAAATTAACATTATAAAGCGCCTTTACGCCACTATCTTATATACATAAAAAAACAAAATTACCCTGAAACATCGTCTCAAAAGACAGCCAAGAGTTGGAAAGTTGCCCCTGCTTTAGTTATACTGAAGATGAAAACAACAAATATATATTGTTTCAAAACAAATCAGCATCCCCTTCCACCTAACTCCGTTAATTCTCACTGTTCATCCAGTTTGGCTCCTCTGATAATGTTTTTCTAGGCTCAGATAATACTTACACATTAGTGTGCAGCTGAAAGTCTCCTGCCTTATATCCCAAGGCAAAGTTATTTTGCGAAAACTTAGACTTGGCTGTATCAAAAGCCATCTGGTAGCCAGCAAGCCAGCCTTCATAGCCCAACACTGCCCAGCCATAGATGGTTGGTCCAGAGAGATCTATGTCTATGTTGCAGCCTAGATTTACATATTCTCTTTTGTAGGAGGTCTTCAACTTTCCACTCTTCTTCCTGCAGAGAGAAACATGCCATTTTATCCCTGGTAGTACACAAGCATGTTTTATATGTAGTTTTATTCACATACGTATGTCCCTTAAGGCCAGTTAATTAAATGACTGTAATGCCTATTCAAAACTTAACAGCTGCTGAAGAGGGCATGGGATAAGAAAAATATTGGTATTATGTATATTTACGTGGTGCCACTTTTTCCTCCACCATCTCAAACTCCTTAAAATCCTCAAGAAGCAAAAAAGACAAAAGCGTTTCTGTTTAACGCTCTAAAACCCATCAGGTTTCAAATTTTGTTCTCCACAAGTGAGTGCAATGCACTATGGCATCATCAGTTTCTTTCAGGAGCATCCATGACATCCCACACCAATAGCTGGCCTTTCTGTCCTTCAGTAACTTTTTGTCTGCTCGGTTCTCTCCACCATTCCTTCATGTGCAGTGCTTGCTCTCCTTCCTTCTTCACTGCTGGATACCAGTCTCCTCTATCGAAAACGGATTTTCTTGTCCTCCAGACATCATCCACTTACTTAGCCTTTTTCTGTCCCTCTGGAGAAGCTTCTTCCTCTCTCTCCAATGCGTCTTTGTGCTCATTTTGCTATCAATTTAAACTTAACATAACTGAGACAAAATTTTATCACCTCCTTAATCCTCTTCCCAACCTCCTTTCTCTCCCACTGAAGATACAGCCTGTCACTCATATCCAGGCCCAGGGTCTCATTTTTTACTTAGCTTCTAACTCCTTACATCCAAGCAGTATTTCAAACTCTGATTTTTCTGACAGACTCTCCCCAACAATAAAGAAATACCAGTAATTATTTACAAATATCCAGACATGAACACCCCTCCTTTGCTCTACTGACTACCAAAAATGAATACATAATTGAGAAAGACAAAAAAAGTGCTATTCCACTGCCTATCATAATACCTATGTGGTTCTACCTCCTCATTTAGTTGTGCATAGACTTCTGCCCAAAAGCATCAGGAAAAAAAATAATTTTGCTTTGTGTTCTTAAGGCACCGAGTTGACAGCAGTAGGACTGTCAACACCATGACAAAGATGGTACAAGTGGTCCATGTAAGACCTAGCTGTTTAAGGGGAGAGTTACAAAAATATAATACCTACTGCAAAACAACAAATTTGCCAATGGCCAAAAAGCTGAAGAATCATTTTTAGCAGACCTTGTCCTTCTGAGCCCAGTATTATCTATTGCCTTCAAAATATTCTACAGTGCCTGCAGAATATTCTACAGTAAATTTTAAGCATTTACACAATGACCAGAATAAGCATTTCTAATTAAAAGTTATGGGAAATTCTAGCACTCCTTAGTTAAAGGTAACAGAAAATATTTACCCTGTGTTTGGTACAAATGTAGTATCAAGAGCCACCTTCAATCCTTCAGCCAACTGCAAAGAAAAACAGACATCTGCTCAGAGTTCTGCTGAAACGTGATTTGTTATATTCCACTA